TTTTTAAAATTTTATCGTGTAAACCACTAAATATTTTCAATTCAGTGCTGTACATATAAAAAAAAAATTAAAAAAGTGAATTTTCCTAGACCAGATTCGAACCCGGGACCCGCGGTTGGAAGGGAAGGAGCATCTACACTGAGCCATCAGCGACTTCGTTTGTGCGTGTCGTATATCTGTTGCTTAACATACCATGTTTTTCGAAACATTTCATAAATCTAAGTAGCTTTTAAAACAAAACAAATTTGACTCAAACCTGTCAACATTATTGTTTGTGTGCATAGATTTCTCAGTGTTTTGATATTTTGTGTTAAATTGTGTTAAAAAACGAACTAAAAACAAAAAAAACTTCAACAAAAATATTTAGTAGTCGTGGATAAAGTATAGTATTCTACTCCCGTATAATGGGTATTATTCACTCGGTGATTTAGGCCACTCGCCTGCGGCTCGTGGCCGTAAACTTCACCTCGTGAATATTACCCATCATTATACGCTCGTTGAATAATATACTATTATGCGACCCGAGATGCAACATTATAATTTAAGTCGGTATAATCTAATACTAGTAATACTAAAACAAGGTTAGGTTACATTGTGAAAAAATGTGTGCAGACAATTGATTTTGTATTTGTATTGAATTCATTATTCACTTAATTATTAAATATTAAGCATCGTCCATCGACACATCAGTGTTGTAAAAAAGTGAGAGTCCAGACAAAAGTTTTTAATTTGTAATTCCACAATAGTGACAGTGTAATTTTTATAAAGAACTGAAAAAAAGAATAGCCTGCCAATTACATTAAAAACGAGATTCTTATTTCTTACTTTGCTCAATTTTTTAGTTTGTGCAAAAACTAGTTTTACAATTAACCGAGAAAACAATGCATTTACTATTTCCGAACGTGATATGGTGTTCATCTTCTTCATCTTCATCATCTAGTGGTTGGTCCTTTAAAAGTCCCATAGCACTGCGGCCTAATTAGGCCTATTGTGCGTCCCACTACTAGTCCTATTCAGCAAGTAGATTTGTCCTTTTTACAAAGTCCAAAAGCTTCCTTGCTGACACTTCTCTCAGCTCCTTGGGTTCCAAATAGGGTCTCCCAAGGAGCGCCATTCTGCTACGTGCAAATCCCGGGCACTCGCCCAGGATATGCAGAGAAGTTTCATCCGCCGATTCACATCCTCGGCAGACCGGACTGTCTACAAGCTTTAGTCTATGTAGATGTTTCTTAAAGTGACAG